GATTGATTGATTGATTGATTGATTGATTGATTATAAAGTGTTCTATACAGTTTATTAACTCGCCTTTACACTTGTATGGGCTGAGAGAGTACAAAGTAACCCAGTACACACGAGTTAGGGCTATTGTTTACACTTCGTTTTGTATATGTATCATTTTAAGCTTGCCCAGAGCCATCGTGATCACTACATGGATAGAAGCGGCACAGTTCAAAGAGTGGAACACTTTGTTATCTCACGAAAAGAAGGGTAAGTTGAGAATCCCAAGAAACAGATAATTATAAACTGCTGAGGCTATAGAGGTGGTGTTAAATCAACATTGGTCCAGAGTTTCAATTCACTGGGTAAACAATATTTCCTGATTTGGCGAATCTTCTATCTGGTAAAACTCTCGAGAGGATTCTTTTGCTTCGATCCAAAAACAGAATATAATCCAAAAAGAGAATGTAACACTAGCCCTCGTGACGGCTCCTAGCGTCCTACGCAAGACGTCCTTTAATATGTGACATAAGGACGTCGGTCCAGTTCTCTCCCTCTCTCTTTGTCACGCAGCGCTACGCTTTTTGGCGAGAGGGTCCCTCCCGAGAGAGAGCGTAGCGCTGCGTGACAGAGAGAGGGCCAGAACTGGACTATAAGGATGTGTGCGTACAGCAGCTAGACGTCTCCCTGAAGTAAGGTATTATATTGTCATGTCATTTAGCAACGTCTGACAAAAATTAGTTGCTCACTATGTACTTTTTCGCCAATCTACGAATTGTAATCTGAGACGCTACGCAGTTTACGTATTAAAAATGTTATTTAATTTCTCTGTTTCATTTCATTTTGCTTTGAAGACCCAAGATTACGGACGACAACTTCTTTTGCAAAGGAGTGAAAATAAGTTGTCCCTTGAGTGGCGAACTTATACAAACTATTAACGGGAAGTGCACAATCCATCTCGGGCTCCCCCTCAAAATGAGCCCCACTTCAATGTGTACCTGGAGGGACCGGGCCTTGAGAGATGTGTACTTTGAGAAGAGATAAGATTAAGGACCTCCAACGCCAATGCGCGTGATAATCTGAATTAAGAGCTGATTCAAACGCAAGTTAAAATCAAATCGTAACGTTCCCGAGAGCTTCTCTCCATTGTATCTGGAGGTCGTTTTTAATTGTATTTTCCTTGCTTAAAAGAGCATTTCAAATGGCACTTAAATTTCGAATTTTTTTCGTAACATTTACCTACTTCGTTTTCTTTCTTTTAACTTCGCCGACGGAGGAAACTCGATGCAGCTCAATTATTTCTTTGTTATCTCGATAACTTTCAAAGATTTGAATCACTGAAACAGACCTGACAAATAAACAACGTTTAAATATATATCTTAGTGTTTAGACTTAAAGTAGCTTACACAATATCTACAGCTGTGGAACTCCCTGCCAAACTTAGTTATTGAAAACTGTCCCAGGTTGTTAATAAACTGGCTGTAGCGTAGTCCCTAGCTTCCTCTTTTTAGCGCTCTCAGATCACGAACGACGATATCCTGGGAACCAGTAAGTCTTCCATCTTGTGATCGATGGTCCATGAGCTAATGCCCGGAACGAGGAGGGCTGGGAGCTAGGCTACGGTATTCAGCATGAGAGAGGCCTGGTGCATTCCACCATTAAAGTGCGATTCATCTTAACCCAACACTGATTAGGCGGGGTTTTCGAGGAAAATGACCATTGATGTTAAAGGCGACTCCGGCAAAACCTGAGTTGGTAGACGCTGACCGGAAGTAGGGGGAGAGTATGTCACCGCACCAACGAGTGCATACTTTATAGCAGCGTGTATAACCGGATATGAAGTAGCCAGAGTAAAAATATGTATCGCAGATAAGCAACTGATACTCATACTTTGTGTCTGCTACGCCATTTCCAAGCCATGTTGATGGAAATTGTTTTCCGTAATTTGCTGCGGCTACAAGAGTGGAACTGAGCTTGTATGTGAAAAAGGCTTTTTGTCCTGTCGCTTCGTCCACGAAAAGAATCTCGTGAAACTGCAATAAAAAAGGTTTTAATGGAAAAAAACATTCGGATCAGTACATTTGTACTTGTACCCCCGTATCCAGCATCTGCAGTGAGGGACGAAGACTCGAGGTACATCGACACACATCTATATAAAGGTGGGGGGCCGGGGGCGTCATATGAAAGGATATACCCACCACTACAAGACTTAAGGGTTAAAAGAAAGGGGGGGGACTGAGATATTAAACATAATATATTCATACTTACGAGACAGGCTTGTTGTGTTGATGATTTACCGAATTCTTATAGTTCACTGTGTTTAAAGCGGCCTGTAATTGGATTTGGAACTGGGTTAGTTCTCATAAAGCGATCGTATTAATATTGGGGAGCTCAAAAGTTTAATCATTATACCAGAGCTTCAATGCCACACAGTATTCCGAGTGCTGCAAAGAGCATGGAATTTGAGAATAATAGCATGCATTTTGCAAGAGCTCAGTAAAATGAGCACGGTTACCGGTATGTTGTTGCAGTCTGATCTGTAACCATTTGTTCCATAAGGTAGCATTTCATCATACGTCACTTCCACTTTTGGATTAACTACATTGTTGGCTGAGTAGCACATTGTCCATCCGCCACCAAATGACGTCATATCACAGTACGCCGAGAACATCTAGATTCCGCTATCCGGCTGTATGCGGTACATTCCATCGCGAGCATGTGGGTGTACTCTCTTAATATCTCGGCAGCTCTTTCCTGAATTGAAGGAAGGAAAGTACTCATCGAGTAAAGAAGAGACACTCTTAATTCAGTTACCACGCGTTATTGCAGCCAGAAGTTGGCATCTAGCGGCCAGGAGTATTGTTAGCAGCCTTATATTGTGTGGGATGTAATTCCATCGCCAGTATACCTCAATCATTTATCAGGTCACCTTACAGTTCAGCGTGGCGGAAAAACACTAGGAGAGTTACTTATCTGCTGTAAGACTGGCACAAAACAGTGACCCCGGTCAGTGCTCGAATCCAGACAGCTCTATTAGTAGGGGCAATGCGTTAGAGCATTTAGTACGCTAAAACGCGAGTTTTGTCCAGGGGCGTAGCTAGGACGTTCCCGGAGTGCCCGTGACCCCCCTTTTGAAAGCTTTTTTTGAGCAAGCAACCTACAACAGGTGGCGAAAACGACATGACATTCTGGTGAGTACCCTCACTTTGACACAGTGTGACCCCTCCCTTTAAAAAATCCTGGCTACGCCCATGTTGTCCGTACCTGTAATTACGCAGATCCCGTCACTGTCGAACTGATGACAACCCTAAACAGAAAAACAAATCTGAAATAAAAATGAAAGCTTTTCTAGGACCCTAATAGAGTAGATTAGGTTGCAGGCTCTAAAAGTTTGTTTAATTTTCATGCTGACGGAGATAAACCGAAGAGATTTGGATCCGGCGTATTGGTACCTTGATCTCCCTAGAACGTGGAATGTAGCCAGTCTCCCGCTCCAGCTTCCCTTTCCTTCCCACCCTGTGCTCATTTATACCCTTAGGTGGAAAGAGACACTATGAAAGTAGAGTTTTCATGAGTTTTCCCCGGGAATACATTTAAGGACTCCAGCCATGGGTTGAACGTGTTCGTTTCGCTTTTTTTTTTTAAATTTGAAAATCGCTTACCCTTCAATGTTTGATGCAGGTATTTTGAGGAAGATTGTCGTGGTTTCTGGATGGCAAATAAGAATACAAAAAAGCACGGCCCCCTTAGTTGATTAACAAAGACTAATGACTATGCAAGTCTTCCCCGTGATGCAAATGTACAAAGTCTGCGTGTTTTTTACTTATAACACGACCCGTCTGTCCCATTAAGCTCTCTCCTTCCATTTCCAAAAATTTGAAGTTCGTTCAAACCTCACTGAACCATACAGTTAATGAAGAAATGCTATGTAATTGACCGGAGATAAATCAAATTTAGCGCCACCTCACCTGACATGGTTTCAGCTCGCTGGTGAAGCATTAAGAAATTGTTAAAAGTATCAGTTGTTATAAAAATGTTGCCGGAACACAACAGAAGCTTTTCACCTAGTCAGGAACGGCCGGAAAAATAAGTTCTCCACGTAAATTCTCTCAACTCACTGAGTTCCGTGTGTGTAAACATACTGAAGCATCCGTTTTCCTTCACGAATTAAAACTACGGTTAGAGATGTGATGTCTTGTCATCCGTATTTACATAGCAACCTCATACACGACATTCAACCATCGACCATGTCTTAAAAGCCAATATTTTTTATCACAAAATTTATTTGATTATGATGGCACTTGGATAGCACCATTGTTCATTTTATTAAGTTCTGTCATTTTCGCTTCGAAAGGCAAGGACCATATTACCAGAAATAAACCATAAAACTTCCCTTGTCATATTAAAATTTCAGTTCAAACACATCGTTAATTTAAAAGCACTGTCTTCTTAAAATACTGATCAATTTGCCAAATTGCATATTATCACTTTTCATGAGCAATGTTCCCGTTTTTCGCTCAGGGGTAAATTTTACATTTTACGATCAACGAAATACTGTTCTATAAGAAAATGAGCAATTCGATACTAAAAGTGGTCTTCTTTTGCAAATGCTTGAAAGTAGCCTATATCTAATAAATTTTACCTCCAAGAACATCAAGAACACGACGCCCTGCTGATCACGAAATTCTGTATTTTCACTACTGACGACAGAAATGTTGTGCTTGTTCAGCTCACAAGTTCCGGCTTGGCCGTTCTCCTTTGATGGCAACTTGAAGTTGGCAGAAGTGCACCATGTATTTCTCGCACATTGATGGCTGCACGATAACAGGCTAGGAGAATTAAACCGTTTGACAACGTGCCCCTCCAGGCGTTTATTTTCTCGCGTTGTGAAGTATGACGAACGAGAAGTGGTGAATGTTTCGTCGTCAGCGAAAACGGCAATATATAGCAAGCATTGAAACATAATTGATAACGAAACGTTCGCGTTTTCCATCGTTGACACGAGAAGCCAGAATGGAACTCGAGAACGAAGTTGACGTACTTAAAAAAAAAAAAATTTGTTGTGCACGATTTTCTTGTCATATGAAGTTTGCGATAATCGCACTCCGTAATAAGACATGATTGGTGGATAAAATTCAGAGGTGCTTGACAGTCTTCGGAAGTCATCGCTAATTTCAATGTTGAAATAATTTCCTGAATTAGTGGGGAAAAATTGACTGATTAACAGGTGTCAATTTAAGGGCAGACAACGAAACCGTTGTTAGCACACTTAAAAAGAATCCAGAGACCTATTCTTTACTGTTGTGTCATAAAACCCATATTGGTGAAAAAGTTTCACT